AACTACTATAATGGGTTATATAACGGTTTCAGCTAGCAAGATTGACGACAGCGTTTGAAGGAAGACAACCATGCCCGCCACAAGGGGGGTGGGGGGACAGATCTAACTGACCTCGGGGACAGATCCAAATGACCTCAGCAAGAAGATGCCGACAGTCACTGCAGGAAGACAACCACCCACACCACAATGTGGGGACAGGGAAGATCTGAATGACCTCAGCAAGCACACGAGGCTGATTCTTCTAGAGTTATGTAAGATCGTCATTGAATAAACGCTTCGTCAAGGCTCCCCGATGACGCTATCCCATGATCCTAAACCCCAAATCCTAAAACCTAAACCGAAGCCGAAACCCGAAGCATGCCAAACCCTAAGCCTTCAACGCTCAATCCTCAACCCCAAACCCTGAATCCTCAACCCAGAACCTAGCATCCTCAACCCTGAACCCTGAGTCCTAAGCCCTACACCATCCATACTAAGCTCCACTGCGTGAACTCTTTGTCCAATGCCCGAAGCCCTTCATTCAGGGATCCTACGGCCCTCAAACCTGCCCATATTCCCAAACCCCGAGGCCCCACCGAGGCCCCACCGAGCCCCTAAACCCTGAAATCCTAAACTCTACACCCTGAACCCTAAACCTTGTGCTTCAACTCCCTAAACCCCAAACCGGCCTGACACCCTGAACCCCCAAAGAGAGACCATAAACCTTTCTGAACTCCAAACCCTGAAACCTGACCCGTAATCCCATACCCGATACCTTAATAACCCTAAACCCATGGCGCTAAATGCAAAAAAACGTGATGCCTTGCAATGGTTTTCGAAGCCTTTGTCTTGGCTGCCTGGCAGAAGTCAGTGCCAATGGCCTGTTTGAGATCCTTTGCGGTACTTGCAGGTATTGTAAGGTGCGTGTAGGGCTTATAGCATGGCGACTATTGAATTTGTAGATGTTAGGACGTTCCCAAAACCATTACAGTACTTGTAGGGATTGTAGGGTTTAGGGTGTCAGAAAGCATGACTAGATCATTTGGGAAATAGACAACGGGATCCCACTCTCGAAACATGCCCCAATGAGCAGAAGCATCAAAGCCCTACATCGAGCCTTGGGGGCCACCAGCATGCTCTTCCGCATGGCAAACAAGCCTGCAGGCCGCTGCCAAAGCCGAAAAACTCATTACTAATAGTAAGAAAATAGTAGTAATAATAATAATAAGAAGAATAATAGTAGTACTAATACTAATAATAATAACAATAATAATAGTGATAGAGTACTAATAATGGTCGTAATACTAGTAATTACTAGTAATAATGATAATACTAGTAATAGTGATAATCTCAAAAACTGCGCATGTCCATCTCTGCCTGCAAATGGATCGCTGGCATTGCTGGGTCCGGCCTCATGTATTCAGATATACATAGATACGTACGAACATATATACATATATGGAGCTTGTTCATACATACACACGTGGTAGTTTCCCTAAATTACTGTTCCCAAAATGGGGGAAATTTATATAGGGCCCCGTATAATAATGGGAACCCAAATATAGGACCCCGTATTATAGGGAATTTCGACCAATACCCATGTATTTGCAAACACGTCTCTGGTTCGCCACGAGCACTGTGAGAGCGAGGCCGCAGTTCTCCATTGGCTGCCATCGCCTTGACTAAATCTAATCCGAGCCTCCCGTAGATATGAATATGTAGGATTTAGGGTTCCTGTAGGATTATATAGGGCTATAAAGGGATAAGCAGCATGGAACCAGGAAAGCTACTATGATGTTTAGGGTTTGGCGTCTTTTAATATACCTGCATGGGCTAATCTTTACAGGGGTGATTATGGCGATGAGAGACTTCTAGGATATCATCTATAACAATATAATTTCTGTTTATGATAAAATCCTCGCATGACCTTGCGTAAACTCTAGGACCATGACCCCAGGGTTTAGGTCTAGATATGTAGAGTCATGCAAGCTTTTGCCAGACAACGGCACAGTCTGTGACCACCACTCCAGGGCGACCACTGGAGTGTGCACGAGGATCAGATGCTTGATCAATAAGATGCCTGGAAGGGCAGTCGCGAAAATCCTGATGCCAAAACCCTGTATAAGCCCAAAGACCTAAAGTCCCAACTCTAAACAAATATTACGGACACAAGACCGGACAACTGCTTGGCCTGATGCCATTTGCACAGCGCAGCAGCCTGTGAGGTCTGCAGGACATGGCCAAAGGTCCCCTACAAAGCCTTGTCGTTAGTAAGGAATGGGGAATGGATCCCGTCCAAAATCATCCCTGCAATGCGCTCCCCCATTCCATACTACTCACAAGGTAGCATGCGCGCCCGAAGTACTTAGGACATCGCCCAGCTTTGTAGCTCTCGGGGGTGTCACCTTAATCCACGGACGCTACCTGCCACCCCACACGCTCATTGTCTGGCAGGGGCCGGGCCCATCGGAGACTCCAGGGCATCTGCTGCTGTCATAGCGCCGCTCGACACTGCCTGACCCAGCATCGAAGCACGGTGAGGGGACCCTGTGGAGGGCGTAAAAGCTGAGCGCGATGCCGCCGACATGTTGGAAGGCTCACTACCTGACTCGATCAAGTGATCCAAGTACTTGGGACCTTGGGACGCTGAGTGCTCAGGCTGCGGCAAATGTTGACAAGCAGGCCACCAGCTGCCAGGCGAAGTGCCTGCAGGCCAGTGAATCCAGTCATTTAAGTTCTTTCCCTCACCGAGCAAGTGTACAAATGATACCAACAATGGAGAATCAAATGGAAAATGAAATTGAAAATGAAATGCAAACTGGGGATATAAAGGGGCCATATAGGAGGTGTTTAACCCGTATATAACCCCTATATCCCCCTTAAGCAAGGACGACTTCTCCGTGCCAAGATGCTGGAGTTTCCCCGTCAGTGCAGAGTCTCACGGCCTGGTCAAAAGCAGAACTTCAGAACATAACACCATGGGAGTAGGAGAGCTTTCTGAATCAAAGCGGCATCTAGGGGTTATATAGGGATATTATAGGGATACTAAGGAGAGCTTTCTGAATTAAAGGGGGATCTAGGGGTTATATAGGGATATTATAGGGATACTACAGGGCATAGGAGAACTTTCTGAATGTGTCTACTTGCCAGAAACAACCTTGACAAGCCTCACGCAGCAAGGCAGCGTCGAGTGCGGAGCGGCACCTTCTTTTGTTCCTTGCCAAGGGCTATATAGGGTAATATTGGGGTGATATTGGGACCATGGAAAAGAAATGGAAACTACTA